GGGGGTGTTGCGCTTCCCGCTTTGCTGCAGTCGCTGCTGGAGCATTCCGCTGCTTGCTTCAGTCTCGCTGCTGCTGCAGCGCCAGCAGCAGCTGCTGCTTCTGCTGGTGCTGCTGCTGCCAGGCTAGGGGCCCCCGCATGGGCCCACGGGGCCTCTCCTGGCTGCTTTGCTGCAGCATAACTGCTTCCCGCTGCAGTGTGTGGGGAGCGCTCTGCTGCTGCTACTGCTGCTGAGGCTGGGCTTTGAGCAGCAGCTCTTGCTGCAGCTGCTTGAGATACAGCAGCAGTTCTAGCTGCTTCAGTCAGCTCTGCTGCACAAGCAGCTGCCCCGCCCACACAGATGTACTGCTCGTCTCCAGCTGCTGCTGCTGCTGCTGCTGAGGCTGGGCTGTACGCAGCAGCTCTTGCTGCTGCTGCTTGAGATGCAGCAGCAGCAACAGCTGCTTCAGATGGTTCTGCAGCAGACGCAGCTGCTCCGCCAACGCAGATGTACTGTTCGTCTTCTGCTGCTGCTGCTGCTGCCACAAGCGGCAACGCAGCCATGCAGCGCACTCGTGCTGCAGCAGGCAAAGCACTGCGTGCTGCAGCAGGGCCCCACGCCTTCAGCAGCTGCTGCTGCGACGCGTCGGGGCCAGCTGCTGCTGCTGCTGCTGCTGCTGCGATTGCTTGGGACGTGCCTTCCACGGATATCTGCGGATCAGCAGCAGCAGCAGCAGCAGCAGCTGGAGTTGCCTTGCGGCGTCGAGGCAGCAGCAGCTTCCAAAATGAAGAGACTTCTGCGATGGCAGAGGGTAATTCTGGGCCCGTTTCAGCTGCTGCTGCTGCTGCTGCTGTGTCTGGCGCTGCATTTGCTGCTGCAGCGGAAGACTTGGCTACACCAGGCGGACCGTTCTCAGCTGCTGCTGCAGCTGCTGCTGCAGCTGCTGCTTCGCTAGAGGCACTCCGCAGCAGCGAAGATCCGCATGCCTTAGCAATACTCCACAAACTCAATTTGCCAGCAGCTTGCTGGTTGTCTCGCTGCTGCTGCTGCTGCTGCTGCTGCTGCTGCTGCTGAGGCGGTGCAGCGTGTGAGGCCTCCCGTGTCCGCTCCGGAGTCTTCGCATTAGCTGCTCCAGAAGCAGCAGCTGCTGCAGGAGCTGTCTCAGCAGCAGCAGTTGTTCCTGCAGCACAATCCTCCGCTGCTGCTGTTGCTGCTGCTGCTGCTCTATCTGTATTTGCTGCTGCTTCTGTTGCTTTCGCTGCTGCTGGTGTCGTCCTGCTGCGAACCAGGGGCAACCCCCCCACCACTGTCGCAGCAATTTCTTCTGCTGCAGCAGCACCAGCTGGTGCAGCTGGTGCAGCTGCTGCTGGTGCAGCTGCTGTTGCAGCTGCTGCTGCAGAGCCTACTGCGGATCTGCTCGAGTTAGGTGCTGCTGCTGCTGCTGCCTTCGCTTCTGCCGCTGCTGCGGTGGCTTTCGGTGTTGCTGCCATGCCGTTAGCCGCCCGCGCAGCAACTCTTGCTGCTGCTGCTGCTGCTGCTGCAGCTGCTGCAGCTGCTGCACGTACCCCTTCCACAGACAACGAAGCTGCTGCGTCACTCATGGCTGAGGCTGTCTGCCCCGCTGATGGCACGCGTGGTGGGCATTCAGCTGCTGCACTTGCTGCAGCAGCAGCAGCTGCTGCTGCTGCTGCATCAATTTGCCGTCCATGCCTTGAAGACGCGCTAGGAGCTTCCGTTGCTGCTCTCGCTGCTTCCCCTGGTGCTGCTGCCGGTGCTGCTGCTGCTGTTGCTGGTGCTGCTGCTGCTTCTGCTGTAATGTACGTTTTGGTGGATCTCGAGGTAGCAGGCTTTGTGCGGTGGACTGCTTTTGCAAGTATGTTCTGGGAGGGGTTTGGAGTTTCCCGTTTTAACAGAGAGTCTGTTGAACTGAACAAGCAGTCGCAACAATTTTTCTCAGTTTTTGAGTTTGCCATGCTGGCTGGGTGGCTTGTGCGCATTGTTGAATGCGGCGCGTACAAGGCGGACATTGACCAACTTGAGAAGAAAGCTGTCGAGGATGATTTTGAAGTTGGCGGCTGTTTGCTGCTGAGGGTCTATGACCACGTCACGTCCTTCAGGAGCTGGTCGTTTTGGTGGATCTCGAGGCAGCAGGCTTTGCGGGGTGGACTGCCTTTCTGTTTGGTTGGTCTCGCGTCTGTGGAAACATTTGGGAGAATTAGGGCAGTGCAGAAACACCAGCAGCAGTCCGTGACGCGAAGGTGATACACGAGATGCACTAGATGCAGGTGGACGTCGACGTTCTTCTGTAGCTTTAGAACAAGCACGCAGAAGTAGGCTTGGCGGCGAATTCCCACCATTAGAGCGTACGTTGGCTCACCGCCTCGATGATTTTCGCGCTGTACTGCGTTGTGTGGAGCGCAAGTCCTTCTGGGTAATTTGTATGAATTGTTTAGCAGTCTCGCTGCACCGACACGCTGGCGCGAACTAGATGTTTGTGGAACACCTGGCGCTTTAAGCAGCT